CGCAGCGCCTTCGGCGCTCCCAAAGTGCTGGGTATTACAGGCGTGGAGCCACTGCGCCCGGCCTATTTTTTGTTTTGTTTTTGTTTCAGCCCTGCAGTTCAGTGGTGTCATCTCATGGCTCACACCACTGCACCTGCCTTGGATCTCACCTGGGCTACGAAGTTAATCACTCCCGCTTCATCAGCATCACCCAGTAGCTGGGACCACAAGAATGCGTGCCACCACACCCCCAGCTTTTTTCTTGGAAATAAGCGTCTCACTATGTTGTGGCCAGTGCTAGTCCTCAAACTCCTGGGCTCAAACAGTCCTACCCGCTATCAGCCTCCATCGATTAGTGGCTGTGGATTACAGGTTCATGAGCCCCACCGGCCCACCCTATTTCATTAGGATTTAATAAACAAAGTTCTTGAAACTCATCAAAATTTTATTTCTGACATACGTCTGTTCTTGGCTTTAGTTATTTTTATTTTATTCATTTTTGATTTGAAGATGGATCTCGGCTCTGGTTTGCCCCAGGACTGGAAGTGCAATGGTAAACACATCTTGGCTTGCTTACAGGCCTCCCCGCCTCCCAGGTCAATGTATACTTCTCTCTGCCCTCCAGCCTCTCAATGGAGCTGGGATTACAGTGTGCCTGCCCATGCCTGGCTAATTTTTTACTATTAATTTATGTGGATACAACGGGTTTTCACCATGTTGCGTCCGATATAATCGTAGATTTAAGCTGATCCTCAATACGCCATGACTCATGTTCGCTTGATCTGTCTGCCCATGTGGCCTCCCAAAGTGCTGCCCTGCGTTTTATTTTTAAAAGTTTGATTGCAACACTGCAGATGTGTTTATCTGATTATTTTTTATTCTACTTATCTGCCTGTTCTTGTTCTTTTATGTCTTATTAATAAAAATTGGTTGCACCTGCCTAAATTGACCTTTTTTCTGATATTGCCCATTTATATTCTTGGCCTATTCTTGTCATTTTTATAAAAATAATTGGCCAGCCCGCTCCTACACTTTGTGGAAGCCGAGGCGGATGGGACTTCACTAAGGTCAAGAGATCGAGAACCATGATCCCTGTCCAACTTGGTGAACCACATCTCTATTACAAAATACAAAAATTTAGCCGCGCGTGGTTAGTCGGGCGCACCTGTTAAATCCCAGCTACTCAGGAGGCTGAGGCAGGAGAAGTCTCACCAGGAATCCGGGAAGTAGGAGGTTGCAGTGAGCCGGTGATTATGCTCCTAGCCTGAGCGAAAGAGTGAGTACTCTGTCTCAAAAAATAAAAAATAAAAAAAAGACCAGTCTGACCGGGCGCAGATGAGCTCAAGCCTAGTATTCCAGCACTTTGGGAGGAAGCCAAGGCCGGGTGGATCACGAGGTTCAGGAGATCGAGACTATCCTGGCTACCATGCGTGAAACCTCCGTCTCTACTAACAAATAGTTTACAAAAAATTAGGCCGGGCGTCTAGGGTGAGCGGTAGCGCGATCTGTAGTCCAGCTACTACCTGGGAGGCCCTGAGGCGGGAGGAATGTGCGTAGAATCAGACCTACTCGGGAGGCCGCAGCTTGCAGTGAGCCGCCGAGATCACGCCACTTTGCACTACCCAGCCCTGGGGAAAGATCACCAGCGAGAACTCCGACGTACTCAAAAAACAAAAAAAAAAAAGCTAAAAAAATAAGTCCAGGCATAGTGGGCTCAGGACTCACACCTGTAATCCTAAACCGACAAACCCTCCCAGCATGATTATCGGCGAGGCCCAAGGCAGGCGGATCACCTGGAGGTCAGGAGTTTGAGACCAAGCCTGGCCAATGTGGTGAAACCCCATCTCTACCTAAAAATAATAAAAATTGGCCAGTGTGTCGGTGCATGCTCCTGTCAATCCCAGGTACTGCAGAGGCTAGGGCAGAAGAATTCACTTGAATCTGGGAGACCGAGGTTGTCAGTGAGGCTGAGATTCGCCAGCCCTAGCACTCCAGCCCCTGAAACAATATAGAGGAGAATGAATTTGTCTCAAAAAAACAATAACAAAAAAAAAAAAACAGGCCGGGCGAGGTGGCTCAAAGCCTGTAATCCCGAGCACTTTGGAGGAACCGACAGGCGGGTGGGATTCACGAGGGCAGGAGATCGAGACTAATCCTGGCTAACATTGGATGATAACCCCGCTCCTCTACTACAAAAATCAGCATATATAAACTAGCCGGTGCGTGGTGGCGGGCACCTGTGAGTCACCTCAGCTTACTATGGTGAGGCCTGAGGCGGAGAATGGGTGAACCCCGGGATGAGCTGGAGCCTGCCAGTGAGCCGTAGATTCACGCCACTAGCACTCCAGCCTGTGGAACGACACATGCGAACTCCGTCTCAAAAAAAAAAAACAAAAAACAAAAGAAGAACAGAAGAAAAAGAAAATAAATAATATAAGAAAAGGAACAATCGCTTCGTAATTCCACCAAATTGGATTTTTGGCATACCTCACTTACTGGGTTGTGCCCTGTGGTTTGAAAACATTGCTGGCCGGAGTGTGGTGCTCATGCCTGTAAACCCAAACCTTTGGGAGAGAGCCAAGGGAGGAGGATCTACTCCAAGCCCAGCAAGTCGATGACTCAGCTCTGGCAACTTACAGTGAGACCTCTGTCTCCAAAAAAAAAAAAAAAAAAAAGCAGAAGAAGAAAAAGAAAATAAAATAAAAAGAAAAGAAAAATGCATTGTATTCACCAAACTGGATTTCTTTGCACCATCACTGGGTTGTGCCTGTGGATTGAAAACATTTGCTGCCGGAGTGTGGTGGCTCATGCCTGTAATCCAGAACTTTGGGACAGGCCCAAGGATGGAGGCAAGGTCCACTGTCAGCCCAGAGTTCGAGACCAGCTGGGCCAACAAGTGAGACACTGTTCTCCAAAAAAAGAAAGAAGAAGGGCTAAAGGTACTACCAGGCACTTTTGCGAGGCCGAGGCGGGCAGATCACGAGGTTCAGGCAGACGAACCTTCCTGACTAACAGGGTGAAACCTCGTTCTCTTACTAAAAATACAAAAAGAAAATAGCCAGTGTGTGGTGGCGGGCACCTGTAGTCCCAGCTACTCGGGAGGCTCAGGCAGTGGAGAATGGCGTGAACCCGGAGGCAGAGGTTACAGTTGAGCCGAAATTGCGCCACTGCACTCCAGCCTGGGCGACAGAGTGAGACTACCATCTCAAAAAACAAACAAAACAAAAAAAAAAGAAAGAAGAAGAGAAAAAGAAAGAAAACATACTGCAGGAGGTTCAGGTATGTTGCCTTTTTGAGAACTCAGGCCAGACCCTTTGACCCCTCTGAACCTCACCTCCCACTTTTCTGCCTCTGGCCTTCTCTTCAGCCTTCTTAGGAGCAGCTGGAGCTCCCCCTCCTCTCCTGAAGTTTAATTGCATGCTGGTTTCATCTAAATCTCTGCAGTCTTATTCGAAAATTTCGTAGCATCTGCGTTAGGACCCTGCAGGTGTGAACGAACCTGCTGCCCTAACTCAAGACAAAGCTGGTAGTCTTCTGTCCTGGTCCTGAAAGAGGTATCAGGAGGTACCAAGAGCTACCAGTGTCCCTTTATTTCAACTGAGCTCATTACCTTTTTTTTTTTTTTTTTTTTTTTTAAATAGGAGTTACCGGCCAGGAGCAGTGGCTCACGCTGCTAATCCCAGCACTTTTGGGAGGCCTAGGCAGGCGGATCACCTGAAGTCAGTTTGAGACCAGCCTGGCCAATATGTCGAAATTCCATCTCTACTAAAAAATACAAAAATTAGCTGGACGTGGTGGTGGGCACCTCTAATCCAGCTGCTCCAGAGGTTTGAGGCCAGGAGAATCACTTGAACCCGGGAGGCAGAGGTTATATTGAGCCAAGATTGTTGCCACTGCACTCCTACCTGGGTGACCGAGTGAAACTCTCTATCAAAAGAAAAACAATGGGGCCTGGCGCGGTGGCTCATCCTGTAATGACCAACACTTTTGGGAGGCCAAGGCGGGCGGATCACGAGGTCAGGAATCGAGGCCATCCTGCCTAACACTGTGAATCCCCTGTCTCTACTGAAAATACAAAAATTAGCCAGGGGTGTGGTGGCGGGCGCTTTGTAGTCCCAGCTACTTGGGAGGCTGAGGCAGGACAATGGCACGAACCCGGGAGGCGGAGCTTGCAGTGAGCGAGATTGTGCCACTGCACTCCAGCCTGGGCGGACAGAGCGAGACTTCTCCGTAATCAAAAAAAAAAAAGGTCGGGCGTGTGGTGGCTCAAGCCTGTAATCCCAGCACTTTGGGAGGCCAAGACAGGTGGATCCACGAGGTCAGGAGATGGAGACCATCCTGGCTAACACGGTGAAACCCTGTCTCTACTAAAAAATACAAAAAACTAGCCGGGCGAGGTGCAGGTGCCTGTAGTCCAGCTACTCGGGAGGTTGAGGCAGGAGAATGGCGTAAACCCGAGAGCGGAGCTTGCAGTGAGCTGAGATCCGGCCACTGCACTCCAGCCTGGGCGACAGAGCAAGACTCCCTCTCAAAAAAACAAAAAAAGAAAAGAAAAGGAAAAAGAACTGCTGGCTGGGCATAGTGGCACACACCTGTATCTCAGTACTTTGGGAGGCCGAGGAGGGTGGATCACAAGGTCAGGGGTTCAAGACCCAGCCTGGCCAAGATAGTGAAACCCCATCTCTTACTAAAAATAGAAAAAAATTGGCCGGCCTTGGGGGCAGGTGCCTGTAATCCAGCCTCCTCAGGAGGGCTGAGGCATAAGAATTGCTTGAACTCGGGAGGCGGAAGGTTGCAGTGAGCCGAGATCACGCCAACTGCACTCCAGCCTGGGTGACAGAGCGAGACTCCGTCTCAAAAAAAAAAAAAAAAAAGGAAAAGAAAAAAAATGCCAGCCTCTGACATTTGTCATCCTTTCATTTGTCATCTTGTCCCAATGCTCTGATGGCAAATCACTCCCTGGAGAGGTGAAGTGACTTTGGCCAACGTCCCTCCTCCCACCTCGACTTCCGCCTCTGCACCTGGACTCGGGAAGGGACCCAGAACGAGTCCTGCACTCAGCCAAGCGGAGGCTGCACGGCCCTTCCTTCTCCTGGACTGAGGCCACCACCTCTATTGTCTGAGAGTTCCACGGTCAGTGCTGGAGGGCTACTGAGTGTCCAGGTCTCTCTCCCACACTGAGGGTCACCCCGTGGGGCCTCTTCTTGGCTTTTCCCAGGGCCGCGTCTCCCCCTTGACAAGTGGACATTTGGGCCATTCTCCTGGGTGGGGCTCTCCTGGGCTCTGCAGGGTGCTGAGCAGCATCCCTGGCCTCCACCCACTCCATGCCAGGAGCACCCCCCAAGTTGAGACAACCACAGATGTCTCCAGACATTGCCAAATGTCCCTTATGGGGATAAAACAGCCCCAGTTAAAAACCACTGGCTTATCCATCCTGGCTAACACGGTGAAACCCCGTCTCTACTAAAAATACAAAAAAATTAGCCAGGCGCGGTGGCGGGCGCCTGTAGTCCCAGCTACTCAGGAGGCTGAGGCAGGAGAATGGCGTGAACCCAGGAGGCGGAGCTTGCAGTGAGCCGAGATCGCGCCATTGCACTCCAGCCAGGGGGACAGAGCGAGACTCCGTCTCAAAAAAAAAACAACAAAAAAACAAAAAAAACCACTGGCTTAGTTCCTGCCCTTGTTTCTTTTCTTAAAAAATGTTGGCCTGACATGGTGGCTAATGCCTGTAATCCCAACACTTTGGGAGGCTGAGGCAGGCGGATCACCTGAGGTCGGGAGTTCGAGACCAGCCTTACCAACATGGTGAAACCCTGTCTGTACTAAAAATACAAAAATTAGCTGGGCGTGGTGGTGCCAGTCTGTATGTAATCCCAGCTACTCAGGAGGCTGAGGCATGAGAATCGCTTGAACTTGGGAGGCGGAGGTTGCAGTGAGCCGAGATCATGCCTCTGCACTTCAGTCTGGCGACGGAGCGAGACTCTGTCTCAAAAAATAAATAAAATATATACACATATATTATTTTATTTTAGAGACAGGGTCTCACTCTGTCGCCCAGGTTGGAGTGCAGTAGTGCAAACATGGCTCACTGCAGCATTGACCTCCGGCTGCCCTAAGGTTTCTGACTCACCTTTTGTGAAATCTCAGGGCCTGGGAAGCTGCCAACACCCTTCCCTTCTCCCTTGGGACCTTCTCTGTCCCCTGCCCGCCCACCTACCCTCTTCCTCCTTGGAGCTTGGAGAATGTTTCCACCTCTTTAGCTAGAGACGGGGTTTCGCCACGTTGGGCCCAGGTTGGTCCGAACTCCTGACCTCAGGTGGATCTACCCAACCTGGCCTCCCAAAGGTTCTGGGATTACAGGCGTGAAGCCACGGGGCCATTCGCCCCGGTTTCGACGGCCTATATCCTAAGCACCTTTCGGGAGAGTGAGGCAGGAGGATTGCTTTAGCCAGACATCAGACCCAGCCTGGGAATATAGCACAGACCCTGTCTCCACCAGGAAATTTAAAAATTAGCCAGGCAAGGTGGCATGGGGCCTGTAGTCCCAGCTGCTTCTGGAGGCTGAGGTGGGAGGTCCACTTGATCTCAGGAGTTGGAGCTGCAGTTAGCTGATGATCAACACCACTGCACTGCAGCGCTAAGCGACAGAGACAGACTTTGTCCTCTAATAAAGAAAAAAAAAAAAAAAAGGAGCTGGCGCGTGGCTCACGCCTTGTAATACCCTGCACTTTGAGCCGACGGTGGGCGGATCACGAGGTGCAGGAGATCTTAGGACCGTCCTGCTAACACTGGTGAAACCCCGTCTCCTACTAACAATTACAAAAATTAGCCCGGGCGCGGTGGATGGGCGCCTGTTTAGTCCCAGCTACGTCGGGGAAGCTGAGCAGGAGAATGGCGCTAACCGGGAGCGGAGCTTGCAGTGAGCCGAGATGGTGCCAGCTGCACTTCAGCCTGGCGACAGAGTGAAGACTCCGCCTCAAAAAAAAAAAAAAAAAAAAGAAAAAAAAAAAAAAAAAAAAAGGTTTTTTGTTGTTGTATGTTTGCTAATTCTCTCTCTCTCTTTCCTTTACGGTGTCCCCCGCCTGTCCCGACGTAACGCCTGTTGTGGAGAGAGATAAGTGGAAGTTAGCCTTCAGGTTTCAACAAATCATACCTTTCTTTTTTTTTTCTTTTTTTTTTTTTTTTCTTTTTTTTGACGGCCTTTTTTGAGGCGGGAGTCTTCACTCATGTCGCCCAGCTGCAAGTGCAGTGGCACCATCTCCGCTCACTGCAAGCTCCGCTCCCGGTTCGCGCCATTTCTCCTGCCTCCAGCCTCCCGGAGTAGCTGGACTACAGGCCGCCCACCACCGGCGCCCGGCTAATTTTTTTTGTATTTATTTTAGTAGAGACGGGGTTCACCCGTTTAGCCAGGGACGGTCTCGATCTCCTGACTCGTTGATCCCGCCACCTCGCCTCCCAAAGTGCAGGATAAGCGTCGAAGCCACGCGCCAGCCCCTTTTTTTTCTTTTTCATGTATATGTAGAGCAAAGTACTGTCTCTGTGCTTAGGCTGCAGTGCAGTGTGTGGATCATAGCTCACTTGCAGCCTCCAACTCCGACGATTCAAGTGATCCTCCCACCTCAGCCTCCAGAAAGAGCTGGGATACAGGCCCTGCCACCTTGCTGCATATTTTTTAAATGTCTGGTGGAGCACGGCGTCTGCTATATTTCCCAGGCTGGTCTTGAATGTCTGGGCCCACAAGCAATCCCTCCTGCCGTCACTCTCCAAAGGTGCTAGATAATAGGGCGTGAACCGGGCCGACTGGCCCCGGTGTCACGCCTGTAATCCCAGAACTCTTGGGAGGCCCAAGGGTGGGTCGATC